TTTCCGTTATCTGTTTTCTCACCTTGAGGTCACTGACCATGCAGTCTTGCTCTCCAACATAGCAGAAGTCACCTGAGGCATTCGTGTCAATCCACACATGGTCACCGGGGTGAGCATTTTCCTGTTGGTTATAAAAATGAAAATAATGCGTCACATGACTCCACAAACATAACTAATCCAAGAAAAGATGAGATAAGATATGATAGGACTAGATTGGGAAGGACTGAGATGAGATTAGAGTGATGGGACAAGAAGAGGCCAAGATAGGATGAGACGGGATTGGGAGGAAGATGTGATAATATTTATAATGGGACGGGATTGGGCAGGAGATGAGACGAAAAAAAACCATGATGCGATTAGAGACGATGAGATGGAATTGGGCGGAAGATGAGATGAGATTAGACAAAAGGAGACCAAGAGTACCGGTAATTAGATATGATGAGACAGGATCATGCGGGAAGATGAGATGAAATGATACAAGGGGCAGACGAGACAAGATTAGATACAATGCGATGGGTGGAGTTGGGCTAAAATAATGAGATTATACAAAGGAGAGGAGACTGTGATGAGATTAGAAGGATTTGGGCAAGATTGGGTGGAGGATGAGTTGAAATAGAGGAGACTGATACAAGATACAATAGACACAAGAATGTAAGGCCTACAAATGCAGTTTTTAATCTACACTTACACTCCAGTCTACCGTGGCTTTTATTTCTCTATCTGTTTCTCTGTAATCACTGGCAGCAATATGGTGTCCGGGAAAGCCGTGTAATTCCGTACTGTAAGCGCTGGACTTAGATATTGCTTTCCTGTCAATATAAAAACACATACATGGATATCAGTTTCACTTGCTGTACATATTGGAATCATTTACATATGGTAGGACTACTTTGTACCTATACATCAAATTTACATTCATATTTTACTATTCTAAACCCCAAGAATAATTTTGCGTTTGCCGAACCTTATGAGATGCTTTAATGCAGCTATGATGCTATGACCCTTGTTTGGTCATGGTTTTATGTTCGCTTTCACGCATTGGATCTCGTTGTGAACATAAATTTGTCTGTTGCGCTGGGAACATTCATAATCAATTTTTAACATGATATTCATGCTAAATGTTACAAAATATATGCGTTGTTTTTATAAAGCAAATACAATTTTGTTTTATCACACCTACACTACATTTATGTCGTGAGTGTATCCTTATTTACACATATCGGCAATGCAAGCTGCCCAGCAACATCCCCTGCTGACGTCACAAGGGGAATTTCTGTATGCAGATGAGAAGCCTCGTTTTAAAATACACAAAAATAAAGTTGCTGTAGACTGAGTTTAAAACACATTTTTTCACGTAACAAAAATAGTTTATGCTTAGAAACATAAAAATTAATAATATTTATGTATCAATGGATAATTTTGGGCATGAAAATAGCAGCCATTTCACAGGCACTTTAAGTTCAAGTCACTGTTACAATAGATTTATTTAATAATTATGTAAATTAATTAAAAGTGAAAATTGAAACCATAATGTAGTAGCGCCTTTTTGCTCCTGTTTAATCACTAGCTTACTTCACAATTTGATCTTGACCAGTTGTACATCTATATTAGTGTTTTTTTTTCATTGCTTACAGAATTAAATACAATGTAGCACATGTACATATACAACACTAGAAACATAATTTCCCGATAATTAACAATTTAAATTAATATATAGATTCACACGATACTATGTTCTATGTAGAATGATGTTTGCTTTGAATGATTTGCAATGCATTATGGGGAATACAATTAATTTAACGTATTTCCACATTCAACTCTTTTTCTTTACATTTCCTGACAGGTATTCATTATTGAATTGAGGTATAAATGTACATATACAACAACAGCTCTAAAAATAAACTAAAAAATCTACATACACACAATAACAAATGAGAATGTTGACCTTCGGGTCTATTCAACAAGAGCGCAATCTAATCAACAACACTGCATTAATAAATGGACATTAATAAATGGATTTTCATTTATTAAATAGACGCATGAATTTTAATGTTATTACTTTTTTTTTGAGTTCTAATTGTTATAGCAGGCATTAGAAAGTCTTGCAGCGATCCCACTGTGGCCTGCTTCAACCTCCTGTGATATGATGCAACTCATTGTGACATGCTGCAACTCGATGTGACATGATGCATCCCACTACGACTTGCTGCAACCCACTGTGACTTTTCTGCAACCCACTGTGACATGCTGCAATCCACTGTGACATGCTGCAACCCACTGTGGCTTGATGCAACCCACTGTGGCTTGATGCAACCCACTGTGACTTGCTTCAACCCACTGTGACATGCTGCAACCCTCTGTGGCTTGATGCAACCCACTGTGATTTGCTGCAACCCACTATGACTTGCTGCAACCCACTGTGACTTGCTGCAACCAACTATGACTTGCTGCAACTCGCTGTGACCTGCTGCAACCCACTGTGACTTTCTGCAACCCACTGTGACCTGCTGCAACCCACTGTGACCTGCTGCAACTCACTGTGACCTGCTGCAACTCACTGTGACCTGCTGCATCTCACTGTGACATGCTGCAACCCACTGTGACATGCT